ATATAAGCTAGTTAGAATAGATGGACCAATGGGCGGCCTAGGAGCGTCTGGCAACTGCTGACGCAGAATCCTGGCCAATCAGGTGGCAAACTGTGCTCTTGAAGGGGCAAGCTGTGCGGGCATGGCGGCCGCCGCAACCCACACACCCAGATGCTGCAGGAGCAGCCGGCGGAGGTGGTGGGCACCTAGGCTGAGCCCAGAGCTGGCTGACCTGCTCAGAGCTGGGATCTTCGAGTGGCAGCAGCTCGTCAACGAGGCAGGCTTGAGCGGCAGGCGGAGGGCAAACAGGAAGCGCCGGAGGCGGTGGCAGAAGGGGCTGGAGGCATTGCATATCGGCCGTGGACTGCTCAGAGAGCTCGGCTGCTCTGGCAGCTTCCACGGCCTGTTGCATGGTTATGTCGGGGTGCCGCAGGAGGCGGCTTTGTAAGTGAATCTCCTTTACCCCGCAGACAAACTGTTCGATGAGGTTCTCGTCCAGGTCGCGGAAGTCACACTGAATCGCCGTTACGCGGAACGACTCCAGAAACTGGCTGATGTTTTCCGTCGGTTTCTGGACACACCGGCGTAACGCGTAACGGCGAGCGATGCGGGATGGCGACGGGGCGTAGTGGTTCTTCAGCTTGGACATTAACGTGTCCCAGCTGAGCTGGTACACCGGTCGCAGAGAGGCTAAGGCTCTGGCGGACACGAACATCGCAGGCCCGCAACAGCTCAAAAAGAAACTACATTTTTCTTCCTCGGGTTGGTTGTGGTTCTTTGAGGCTATGAGGTAGCACTCGAAGCGCTTCATGAAACCTTCCCAGGTTTCGCCAGCAGTCCCGAAGGGAGCGAAAGGCGGTAAGGTGGATGCCATATTTGCTGCAGGAGATCCCACAGATAGGTAGAGCGAGAGAGGGGAAAAAACGGAAGTGGAGAAAAAAAGTCAGCGGTTTGCCGCACTGGCGGTTTGATACGGCTTAAGTGGCTAGAGGCTGAATTTCTTCTCGCTCTGTCCTAGGCTCTGCAATCAGGAATCGCTGTATCCCACCTTCGTCGCCAGTTTAATGGATCGAGGGTAGAGACGACACGAGAGCCAGGACTTCAACAACAACAACGAGTTTATTTGTGAGATGTTTGACAGCGATTCAAAAGTATCTTTTCCGCGCCAAGTTATTTATATAAGCTAG